ACTTTAATTAATTATTTAATCACAAAAATTTCTCTTTGTCTTTTATTTATAAATAAAAAAAGATAATTATTTTAAGATAATAAATATATTTAACTTTAATTAATTATTTAATCACAAAAATTTCTCTTTGTCTTTTATTTATAAATAAAAAAAGATAATTATTTTAAGATAATAAATATATTTATTATTAGGAAAAACCCAAAACATAACATGATATTTTTGTAATATAATAATTAATTAAAATAAATAACTAATATAGAATTAAATTTAAAAATATTTATCTATCTAAAATTAAAAAATAAAAATTAATTTAAAACTATTTTCAAATGAAAAAATAATTATTATTTTATAATAGAGCAGTACCTTCCAGGGACATTGATTGACTCAAGGACCCTTGAGTTAATAATGTTTTGACAGCATAATCGTAGACCAAACCGTGGAGGCTTTGAGTGGCTCTCCTAAACGTGGCCAATGGAATTTGCCTAAATCAAAAACACGCCCTGCGGGCTTGGTTGGTGAGATTTTTTATTTTCTATTTTGTTCAATAAGACTTTAACACCTTATTATCCACCAAAGTAGTTTAGTTATAAATTTTTTTTTAGTAGAAATAAAATATTTTGAATTTAAATTACATTGCATATAAGTGGGGTAAATTAATAGATAAAAAAAAATTATCTTTTATTATATAATTCAAGATAAAAAAAATAAAAATTTTCTTTACTTATACTCTTAATGCACAAGTTAGGGATATCTTTTTATAATAAATTTATATAAAAAATATAAAAATAAATATTAATTTTAAAATTAATATCATATGAATAAATTTAATTAAATAATTAATAAATTATTTTTTACTTTTTATTTTTTTAAAACTCTTAATATGTACATTTAGAATACAGATTAAAAAAAACCTAAAAAATAATAATAAGGCTTAACATAACACCTTAAAAAATTACAAGAGTACAATTACCAGTGATGATGAATTTCTAGCATTAATGAGTTGTCTTTCATGGAATTACTTTGCACTGCAAAACTAGATGTTGTGGAGTTTGTGCAGGAGTTTCATGAGCAAGGCAAGATAGCTAAAGGCTCAAACGCTTCTTTCATAGTCTTGATCCCCAAAGTGGAAAACCCCCAAAAAATTGAAGAGTATAGACCCATATCACTCATCGGTGTCATGTACAAGATCTTAGCTAAGATTCTTGCAAACCGACTGCGGATGGTGATTGATAAGGTGATCGGGGAGCATCAAATGGCGTTCATCAGGGGCAGACAACTAGCAGAAGGGGCTGTGATTGCAAATGAGGTGATTGATGAGGTAAAGAGAAAGAAGAAGAAATCCTTCATTTTTAAAGTTGATTTTGAAAAGGCGTACGATAAGGTATGCTGGGGTTTCATTGAATACATGATGTTAAGAATGGGTTTCTGTGAAAAGTGGAGAGGATGGATAAAAGAATGCCTCAGATCAAGCTCGGTATCAGTCATGATTAATGGAAGCCCAACAAGAGAATTTAGGGTGTCTAAAGGTATACGTCAGGGAGACCCATTATCACCATTTTTATTTCTCATCGTTGCTGAGGGTTTGAATGGGATGGTTACTGCAGCAAGTGAAAAGCAGCTGTATAAAGGAGTAAAGGTGGGCACCGATGATATTATGGTCTCACATCTTCAGTTTGCAGATGACACCATTTTTTTCGGGGAGGCAACTGATGAAAACATCTGGGCTATCAAATGCATAGTGAGATCCTTTGAGTTGGTTTCAGGACTGAAAGTCAATTATGCTAAGAGTCAACTCATGGGTGTTAATGTGGAGGAAGCATGGGTTGAAAAAATGGCATACAGATTATACTGCAAAAGAAAAGATCTCCCATTTAAATATCTGGGGATCCCCATTGGGGGGAATCACAGAAGAATTGCAATGTGGCATAATCTAATGGAATCAGTGAAAAAGAAATTAGCTCCATGGAAAGGCAGATATTTATCCTTTGGGGGACGCATCACGATCGTGAATTCTGTGTTGTCTAGCTTACCCGTGTTCTTAATGTCGGTCTACCTGCTTCCTAAAGGTATTATTCATTTTATTGATAAAATTCGCAAAAGTTTTTTATGGGGTGGGGAAGGAGAAGGTAGAAAAATTAATTGGGTTAAATGGGAGAAAGTTTGCAAAAATAAGCTTTGTGGGGGATTAGGAGTGAGAGAGATGAGGAAGTTCAACTTAGCCTTAATGGGGAAATGGTGGGGGAGGCTAGCAAGAAATGAACAGGGTTTGTGGGATAAGATTATAGCTAGCAAGTATGGAGGGAGTGGAGGCCATTGGCTTGATTGGGTAAGGGATGGGAGGGGAATAGGATCACTATGGTGGAGGGATGTGGGGTGTCTCAACAATGTGGATGAGGAGAAAGAAGGGTGGCTAACAGAGGGTTTTAAGCTAAAATTAGGAGAAGGGAAAGGAGTGAGCTTTTGGAGAGATAATTGGGGTGGGGAGGGAGATCTTGCTAACCTTTATCCAAGATTGTATAATTTGTCAACAGGAAAGGAGAAAAAATGTTGTCAAATGGGCAATGAGGAAGATGGAATATGGAGGTGGAATCTAGAGTGGAGGAGAGCTTTGTTCGACTGGGAAAGGGAAGAAGCAGCAGAACTACAACAAAAGATTGATAGCATGCGGATACACAAAGACATCCCCGACACATGGAAGTGGGA